AACATCCACAGTTCCAAGCTTTTAGCATCTTCCTGGCAGATGTCGACATAACTTCTTTAGCTGTGGCTGGGTTAGCCACAGCCATGACGGCCGTGCAGTCACTCCGGTGGGCATGAGCGTAAACTGCCTGCATGTTCAGTTGGCTATCACAATAATCAACCCTCATTCCAGGCCAGTTCTACTCAGTCCTCAGCAAACAGCCTCCCTACTGTTTTTTATTCAGAAATAGCAACATGTCCACATGCTGTTGGGTGAGTCTGGTGTGGAGGCTGTTAACTGAGACCCATGGTGGAGAATACCTGCTCAGATGATGCTGATGTCCAAGGATTTTTTAACACATTAACCAATAGTGTTGATTGGTCAAAATGCTTATAGTAGTTTAACAGTTAAATGGTTAATGACGAACATCCCTAAGAGGGACCTCTGCCTACCACCTTTATTTAGACCCTGATGAGGGCTGAGAGTCAACATGTGTTTGTCTGTTTTTTTGCCTGTATACACAAGGAATAAATTATTGTTTAATAATATTATTTCATGGTTCTTTTTTGCCTTGATTGTCTCAAATATTTGTTATTGTGTAGCGAAATGTCTGTGATGTTGTTTATAGTTATTCTTTATTATTATTCAGCAGGATCCGAGGAAGATTCGGCCATCTACTACATTTGACATGGACAAGCTTAAGTCCACCATAAAGCAGTTTGTCAGAGACTGGAGTGAGGAAGGCCAGGCTGAGAGAGACTCCTGCTACCGACCTATCATCCAAGAGATCCAAAGACTCTTCCCAAGTGACCAATAGTAGGAAACGTGCATGCGCCCTTACAGACATATGCATGCCAAAAATAGAGATGCTTCATATAGCTAAGTAAACACAGAATAGAACAAGCAGAAATAAATGTTTTCATAATGATACACACAGCTTTTCAATGTGCTATGTTTTCAAAGCAGCTTGTAGTAATTCTGATCATGTGACTTCCTCAGCATTTTCCATGTGATATGTGCATTTTGTACATTTTATTATGTCAGTGATGTGTCTAAGGTGAGCGTACTGATTCCGGGTGCTGGGCTCGGACGTCTTGCCTGGGAGATTGCTAGCCTGGGTTATATATGCCAGGGCAACGAATGGAGCCTCTTCATGCTCTTCTCCTCAAACTTTGTTCTCAATAGGTAACTCAGACACTAACACTCCTGTAACTCTTAACTATGTATATGCCATCCGATGTATACGTTCATGCAGGATGATTCTTTGCTTACTTGAGGTGTAGTTATGTCAGTATTCTTTAAAGGTTTGGTGTGTAGAATTTTGTGAAATCTAGTGGTGAAGTTGCATGTGGCAGCTGAATACCCCTCACCTCACCCTCCCCTTCCAAACATGAAAGAGAACCTGTGGAAACCTTCAGTCATAAAAACTCAAAAGGTTTTAGTTTGTCCAGTTTGGACTACTGAAAAAAAGAAAGGCGGCCGCAGTAGAGAGGTCCCACTCCTGATGTAAATATAAAGATTTGGTATATAGAAAGGACCAATTCTATTGCAAAGAAAACAGTTTGTACAATTTAGATGAAACACACTAGTGAAAACATCACTAGGATTATTTTATATTCAATTTCAGCCATTAGATACCTTTCATCTAAATCTTACACACTGAACCTTAAAGCATTTGTGATAAGGCACAACAAAAGTCTAATTCATATACAATTGTTTGGTGCTACTCTGCAGAATACTACTTATATCCACCTATCCTCATATATTTGGACTACTCCATTCAGGTGTGAAGAGTTGAACACTCTGACCCTGTACCCTTGGATACACCAGTTCAGCAACAACAAGAAATCCTCAGACCAAACACGACCAATCAGATTTCCTGATGTCAACCCTCAGAGCTTACCACTAACTGCAGACTTCTCCATGGTAGCTGGGGACTTTGTGGAGGTCTACACTGACACAGGTATTTAATACTGTTGGTATTCCACCTTCATGCAGTCACATTTCACGAACCTTTTGAAGAGAATGTGCCTGCAAGCACTTCGGGCAACTTTGTGCATTTGTCAGCATCTCTGGAAATTGAAAGTGTCCTCTCAGGTAGAGCTAACATCCAGACTGTATTTTTTATACATCCACAGAAAGCCCGATAAAACAAATTAACTTGATGTCTTTAAAAATTACAATATTAAAAAAGGGAGTAAGTTGTTTGGGCTTTAATAATATTAAACATAATGGTAGATGTTTACATACTTTAATTAATGACATTATACAATATTATACTATCTACTACATTGAATAAATAATAGGGGACTGCTCTGTCTGTTTGAATTTTATTTTCTAAAAGCACATTCTGTGATGAAGTTCATTGGTAAAATACGCACCCCAGTCATATTATGTAAAGGTAATCATGTTTGATTGTCCATTTCTGTCAGATTCCTGGGACTGTGTAGCTACCTGTTTCTTTATTGACACTGCTCATAATGTCATTGAGTATGTGGAGACCATCTGGAAGATTCTGAAGCCTGGTGGAGTCTGGATCAACCTGGGTAAGACGCTTTGTGTAAAACAGTTGCATGTGAACTCTCCTGGGGAACAAAATGCTTTCCAAGTCACTAACCTGGTGATGAAAAAAACCCCATCATCAAATTGTACATTTGCTCTGACATGCATCGTCAGCTGTATGACTTTATTTAGAGGTGTGTGCATGTCCAAATCATTTCCAATGAATCAAATTTACTTCAGAGATGGTTGCGTTTCATAGCAAAGTGTCTGAATACTTGTGTCAATGTGGTATTTCAGTTTTTTCCCTTTTTATTTCATCTTTGCACAGAATTATTATGAGGTTTTGGGTATAGATAGATAAGAGGAAAATATAATAATGTGAAAATAGTTACAGTCGATTTGCTTCAAAGAAGGCAAAGCTGTATGAATCAGGCTCATGACTAGAGCCTGACTAATGTGGATTTTTGGGGGCTGAACTGATATTATGCCGAACTTATATTAGCAACTAAATAATGTCTATATCAACTGATATATACATTTAAATAAACTGGCAATTATCCCCTTTTGACAAAGACATAAACAGCAATCCTGATACATCTGTGAAAGTCTTATATTGGCTGAATTTTATCGGTTGCTCTTTACTCATGGAAATGTCTGAGCTACCTTTTTTTTTTTTCAAGTTTAAGTGTTTCTAATGTTTCTACAGGTCCGTTGCTGTATCACTTTGAGAACATGGCCAATGAGCTCTCAGTTGAACTTAGCTATGAAGACATAAGAACAGCCATGGTTAAATTTGGCTTTCACATTGAGGTAAACCAGAGACTTCAATTACTTTTCATGGTTTAATATTATAAGCTATAACATAGCTTCAGTTATGTTGTTCCAGTAATAAAACAGTATTTATGTTTCTCCTGATAGGTGGAGAAGGAGTCAATGCAGACCACCTACACCGAAAATGACCGCTCTATGCTGAGATACGTTTACGACTGTGTTTTCTTTGTGGCACGAAAACCTGTAGACATATATTTTGACTGTCAAGAGGACGACCAACAACAGATTTCCCCACCGGCGGCTAAGTCACCTCGGCGAGAGGGCACCGACAGCCTGACGTGACAAGAAATCCTTTGTCAAAAACAGTGAACACAGAGGAGCACAACCATCGACTGAAGAGATTAGACTGACAAACTGAATAGACGATGGAAACAGAAAAAAACAGAGGACATAAATGTTCTTTTTTGTTTTATTAAGTCTCAATACTGTACATTTCTTTGAGAACAGCCAGTCAATCATGAAGAGTGTTTCTTTTAACCATAATGAACTCCAGCCTTCATTGACTTCCGCTGCCTGTTTGTATGTACTTGTGTGAGAGAGAGAGATAATGGAGATTATGATTTGAACATTTGAAAATCTATTTATTTTTCAAATATGGTGCCAATACATGTTACTTCATCTACTCATTTGCATTGATCATCAGATGTTTCCATTTTTTCAGGTATTAGCTGTTTTAAAGTTGGAGATGATTTTCATTGACTTTCTTATCACACTTTGGAATAAAGCCAAACATTTTAAAAAATATCGGTCTATATTTACTGTATCACATTTGATATCATTTTAACGGGAACATAATCCCAAAACTCAACTCTTTGGGAGCTTAAAATTGATTTTTAAAATCCTGGATGTGTCTACAGATCTGGATCTACCGAGTTCTTTGTTGGGTCAAGTCTCGTCCCTCCACAGAATTTCATAGCAATTGGCTGAGTAGTAATAAATAAACACAGATAAAAACACAACCTACATGGCAGAGGTTAAAATTACTTCACAATTATAACACCTGGATACTAGTTTTTCGCAAAATGTTCTTTGCTTAACATTTACCTAAAATATCACCATATCGAAAATAAAATCACAATGTTTAACATTTAAGTAATTTCTTTGTGACTATGTTTACTAGTCACAAAGAAATTACTTAGTTAAAATAAACGTAAGATAAAATAATCACATTTGCAATATTAATATATAAGAGTCAAAAATGGACATCAGTAATAAGTAACATGCAATAGCCTTCCTATATATTAAGTTTAAGTGTAAGAAAGTAGAAAAGATGTAGAAAAATCTAAATGGAATAAATACTCATATATACAGTGTAAAGTAAACTCACTGTTATTGTAAGTCGCTTTGGAATAAAAGCATCAGCTAAATGAAATGTAAGGTAATGTGAAATATGTACAGTGAATGGAATGCACATGAACCACACTGCACAGACACGTTGAACAACGCACATTTAAGAAAGTTAAACCAGAATTAAAGTGCAGTCCACATTAATGCTGCTTGTTAGGTCTAATCTAATAACCTGTCACCTTGTCCCACCACCATGTTCTCTGTAACGGGGGGAGGAAGTGATGACTTCTGCACTTCTGGAGGACCATGTGAATTCACCCGCCACCGGAAGCGTTGGACGCTCTGGGCGGCGACAGACACCGGTGCTCTCCTCTGATTGGTTACATAATAATTGTACTTCCGGTTCTCAGTGTTTTGCGGCCGAACCGTGAACAACACATGACGTCGAACAATACGCAGTGAGGAGCAGGTAGCGATGGCGGCCCAGTAGCACGTGTTGTAGTGTTAGTGCTGTACACCAGAGCTGTAAGTCATGGCGAAGAGACGCGCCGAGGAGCCGCTGCTGCTGCTGCACGACCTTCCCTCCAAAACGCTCCCCCGCTCCCTCCTCAGTGTGGACCTGCAGCTGGAGACAGACCCTCCGGCAGCCCGGCCTGTGAGCCGCAGCCCCCCGGCCCTGCTGGCTGTGCTGGGCAGCCGCTGCAGGAAGAGGCCGCACTGCCCCGAGGAGCCGGAGCAGAAACCAGAAGGAGCAGGTGTGTGCACCAGGAAGCACGAGGCTGATGTTGTGACGGTGCAGACTTCTGGAAGTTTCCAGGAGCCTCACAGCTGCGGTTCACCTGCAAACCACAAGAAACGACCTCGAGAAGAATGCCAGACTTCTCCTCCTGGAGCTCCTGATAGAGTAAGTTTCCAACAATGTAGAAGAATCTGCACATTCCTGTCTGCAGCCCAGAGAAGGAGGTGGCACTGAATGTGCACTAGGTGTCACTCTTTACCCAGAGTAGAACCTATCCTTGTCAGGGCTGTGAGATGAAATCAATAATTATCACAAACTAATTTTTATCAGGTATCAAGGTTCAATGGACATCAACATACTGCTCATTTATTGTGCAATCACAGTGAGGAGGTATAACAAATCAATCAGACTTTATTTATATAGCACTTATCATACAAACAAAATGTCAGTGTTTCACATCAAAACAACCTCCTCTCAAATACACACACACACACACACACACACACACCCTAAGCAAGGTCTTGATGGAGAACTAGGAAATAAAAAAGTAAAAACAGGAACTGAGGAAGAAAGTATCTAAAGTAATTAAATGCGTGTTGTGTTCTTGTTAAAAATTAAACCAAATGTGACACAGTAAAACTAAGCACAGTCATTTTTTACGTTTTTTTTAACAATATTTGACTTGATTCCAAAGTGTGATTCAAAACATCAAAATCAACTCCAACTTTAAAACAGCTTATTCCTGACAAGCTGATGGAAATTGACATTTTCGGAGACAAATAATAAGTAGGAAAAATTATTGGCTCTATTGTATAATAAATAGATTTTAATCGTTCAAATCACATTATCACCTATCTCTCTTTCTCTCTCCCTAGCCCCAACTATCTTTTTAAAAAGCTCACTCAGTGGCTTCTGTATTGTCTGGATTTATTTTATCTCACCCGGGGCAGTCAGTCTTGAATGTTGCTGTTATCTTCTTTTGGACGTGTCTCAATCCTTTGCTTCCTATTCGCTCTTAGGTTGCAGATATAGACACAAACACTGAAGACTGCGCGTACAACTCCTTCCAGTTCTGGAGACCCCCCTTACCCGAACTCGACCTCTCACTGCTGGAAGATTACAACAGCCATCCCCAAACGGAACAGAGGTCAAAGGTCAAAGACCGTTCCTCTGATGCCATGGAGACGTGAGGTTGCTTACACCAGCAGGCCAACGTGATGATGAAAACATGATGCTCACTCTCCAGTAGGTTAGTAGGTTGCCAGAATTGCATCCAGGTGAGATGCGACAACCTGACTGTCCAACGAGCCCTGTCGGACTGATACATGGGCTGTAGAAGTGAGAGAATCCAGAGAACGGATACCTCCCCAAACTATTACACCTGTTCATATATATATTAGCTCTCTACATATGCCTGAATTTTTTTTTATAAACATCTCTACATTATTTCTTGAGAAATTCACAAAATCTTTAAGTATCTCACAATGTTAAAGAAGTAAAAACAAAAAAAATCCTGGATCCGCTCCCTCCACTCCAAAGGTTAATGTTTTTCCTTGGTCAGTACTCCATCCTTCCTCCAGGTTTCAATAAAATCAGTTCAGTAGTTTTTTGTAATTTTGCACAATGAAAACATAATTTCTTTGGCGGAGGCAACAATGATGCTTATTCATCCATCATTCAATTATATGTATTAACAGTGACAGGAACCTTTTTGTTCTATGCTGAATCCTGACAAACCTGCAGCAGTATTTTATACAAACAGTTCTTAAAGCAGTTTGTTGTAACACATTATGTGACTATGTTGTGGGAAAGATACATTTTAAATTCAACTCACAGAGGGCTTTAACATATGCTGTATTAGCAGGTTTTTTTTAATTTACGTGTTACTCATATCATCTTACTCATCTTATTGCCATCAGTCCTGATTGTCTCTTTCAGCTGTGATTTTGGCAATAAATGCAGTTTTCTATACATGTGTGGTTTCATGTTTTCTTACTTTAAATGTTTCTTCAGTTAATCTGTCAGGGGCCGAAAGCAGTGGATAAACAGAGTCAGGCGTCCTTGATCGAAATATATTCTTTTATGAGAAGCAACAAAATCTGAACTTAACATGGTAGAAAATAGCACATATTGTACAGTAGATAATAAAATAAGTATACAGCACTTTTCAAAGTTACAAAGTGCTTAACAAGATTTTAACATAAGAACATATGGACTTAATTAAGTCAAGCAAATAAAACCAAGAATACATGAAATGATACTGAAGATAACTGCTAAATAATTATCAACAAATGGGACATGCTTGCAATAGGACTGTTCTATCATCAATCAAAGGCTTTCATAGAGAGCTATGTCCACAGAAGGGATTTGAAAGATCAGATCGTCTGGCAGAGCTGACCACAAAAGCCATTGTAACAGTATGCACAGGTAAAAATTGAACAGTAACACAGCAGTCTGCTGTAAAAATATTGATTTTGCTTTGCAAGTATAATTGTGTTCTGTAAAAGAAAGATTCCTTCTCTAACCTGATGTGGTCCAGCTGTTCATACAGAGGACTCAATGCCATAACAAGCCATTAGCAGAAGTTGGATATAACAAGTTATTTAGTTTCTGTACTTAAGTACATTTTTATATAAACTCAGCAAAAAAAGAAACGTCCCTTTTTCAGGACTGTGTATTTCAACAATAATGTTGTAAAAACCCAAATAACTTTACAGATCTTCATTGTAAAGGGTTCAAACAATGTTTTCCATGCATGTTCAATTAACCATAATCAATGAATTAACATGCACCTGTGGAATGGTCGTTAAGACCTTAACAGCTTACAGAGAGTAGGGATTTAAGGTCACAGTTCTAAAAACGCAGGACACTAAAGAGACTTGTCTACCGACTGTGAAAAACACCCAGAGACAAATGCCCAGGGTCCCTGCTCATCTGCGTGAGTGCATTAGGCATGCTGCAGGGAGGCATGAGGACTGCTGATGTGGCCAGGGCAATAAATTGCCATGTCCGCACTGTGAGACATCTAAGACAGCGCTACAGGGAGACAGGAAGGACAGCTGATCATCCTCGCAGTGGAAGACCACGTGTAACAACACCTGCACAGGATCGGTACATCCGAATATCACACCTGCGTGACAGGTACAGGATGGCCACAACAACTGCACGAGTCACACCAGGGACACACAATCCCTCCATCAGTGCTCAGACTGTCCGCAATAGGCTGAGAGAGGCTGGACTGAGGGCTTGTAGGCCTGTTGTAAGGCAGGTCCTTAGACATCACCAGCAACAACGCCGCCTATGGGCACAAACCCACCTTCGCTGGACCAGACAGGAGTGGCAAAAAGTGCTCTTCACTGATGAGTCACGGTTTTGCAGGGTGAGGGCTAGGGCCATTCCCCCCAGAAATGTCCAGGAACTTGCAAGTGCCTRGGTGGAAGAGTGGGGTAACATCTCACAGCAAGAACTGACAAATCTTGTCCAGTCCATGAGGAGGAGATGCACTGCAGTACTTCAAGCAGCTGGTGGCCACACCAGATACTGACTGGTACTTTTGATTTTGAGCCTCCCTTCATTCAGGGACACATTATTCTATTTCTGTTAGTCACATGTCTGTGAAACATTTTTAGTTTATGCCTTAAGGTGTTGACTCTTTTAGTGTTCATACAAATATTTACACACATTAAGTTTACTGAAAGTAAAAACAGTTGAAAGTCAGAGGACGTTTCTTTTTTTGCTGAGTATATGTTTAGTAAGTGGATTTATTTTCAGTTAGTTTTCTACATATATCAGCAAATATCAAATACTTCACTATATTTTACACTATACACCTCCTCGTCTTCATTCTTAAATAAAATGACCCAGTCTGTATTACTGTAGAACAGAAAACATACAGAAGCTACAGCTAATGACTGAGCAGGAGTATACGCTTAAAAAACTTTACTTTTGTTAAAGTACTTGAGTACTTCCTCCACCACTGGTCTCGTATGTGTATCTGCTGAACTAAAGGTTGGATGAGTGAATGTAAAGTGTCCAGACAGACACAGTGTGAAACATGTTGTGAGGAGGAGGAGGAGGTGGTGAACTCCTCCATGCTTCTTGCTTAGAAACACTCTCCCTGCACTTTGGACCAGAGGCTGATAAAGGAGCAGCCAGAGCTCGTCAGAGGAGTAAAGATGAGGAGGTGGGCTCTGCCTCAAGATCTCTGTCAACGCATTCCATATTAAAAGTGTTGGACTCCGGCGGGCAGCCATGGTAAGTTCTTCACGTTATTTACAACGATTCTATGTGGAGAACAGACAGAGTGTGTAATGAAGCTCAGCTATTAATGACTGTTTGAAAAGGTCAAGCTATTAGTTCACTTATTAGCTGTCGTTAGCTAATAGCTAATGTCAGCAAACTTTCAGTGTTAGCTAAAACATGTAGCCACAACAGGTCTACTGGGCTGTGAGTTGAATTTGTCTCTGGCTGCACTTCAGACATGTAATATACTGTTTATACAGCTGGTCATATTTAAACAGAGCAGGAGTCAATTCAAAGAGGTCATTTAGCTGTACTTTAATTTATTTAGGGTTATTAATTTCAATAATTTACCATGGCTAGCTGAGGGAAAGTTACAGACACAGCAACTTTTACTCCTCATTCTCATTTTGTAAAACTTCTGATGTTTTACATATTTAACTTTTTAATTCTAATGATGATCTCTTAAAAGTCAAGAAAAAAGATTATTTAGGAGATTATTATCATATATATATCACAAACCCCTGTTAAGTTGATCATGAATGGTTACATGGAAGAACAGAACATTGTGTGATATACAATGCAATATTTTGTCCAAATAATTATAAAGACTGTTAGTACATGTAAAATTAAGAAATTATATTATTAGCATCGTCCTGTTTATATTGCCATCAATCTGCATTATTAACTATATATGTGAAATTACCATAGTGTAAAGGCTCTTTATCTGATTTATGTTTCATTGCTTTCTGTTTTGGCAGCATGAGTCAGACTAATGACGTATGTTGTCTGTGAAGAAACAGCAACCACTCCAGAGACCACTCCAGATTTGTCCCAAATCTGCACTGCTTCTGTGTGTGGCAGCCATTTCATTCCAATATGGATCTGAAATGTGGGAGAAATGTTTTCAGTGGTTAAAAGAATAGAATAAAAATACACATTCCTTAAATAGTAAAACCAGAGAAACTGACAATCTTGCAGTGGTCTCCTAATTTTTCTTTACCACAGCTGTATATTTTTGCTGTAAAAAATCAGCTGCTTAAATTACACTACAGATCTCTATTCTGTGTTTACACAATCAGATTGGGGAGGGTGAACTCCAGCTCCTCAAACATGTGTTCTATCTCAGGAAGGGGATGTGTGCATGTTTCCTACTAACAATGCTGGTCTCAGTGAGGCCATTGTTAAATCTGGATGGGAACGGAACATGGGAGCAGGAGAGACCTTGAAAAGAGCATAAAGAAAAGAGTCTATGAAGTTGAATGAGAGGGTGACTGTTTCATAGCTCAGTGTTTTTAAGAGAGCAGGTTTCTCTAACAAGGAGGGAAAGGGGGTAGTGGGATTAACTGATGTTAGTTCCCTTTGGGACTGAAATGTATGTAGACTTCTGCCTGCGCCTCAGTGAGCTTCGGAAGGTCACTCACTTTTTCAGGAATGGTGTGTTTTCTTGCTTGAGGATGGGTCTGACCATTAAATTCAGATTATGCTGCTTGCATGCTCCGGGATCTGTGTGCTGTAAGTGAACATTTCTTTTGTTATTTCAGTCTCGAAAGTCTTGGATTGAGGAAAACTTCTTCAAGAGAGAGTGTGTGAAGTTTATCCCTTCCTCTCGGGACCTTCACAGGTAAACTGGAACCTGATAACACTGTTGATGCTCCAAAAACGTGTTTAGTGTTGAAGATGTTATGATTCTCAGATTAAAACACTCGCTTTGTTATTACTCAATACTTACCATAATTTTAACAGCAGTTGCTGAAAACAGTATTCTTCTGAGAGCAGAGCTATTTGGCATTCATCCCTTCCTTCCAGGAATAGGGGCCGTGTGGATTCTTTGATAATGCGTAATTTCCTGTTTTCTTTCTACAGATGTATTCCGGTATGTCAAGTATGCCAAAACCTGATCAGGTATAAATTTATGAATAATGCATTCATATATCTTCATACCAACCTCAATACACAGACATACCCCACCTTTTCTAATGGAGCCCTTCTTTTCTTATTGTGTGGATTTCTGTGTGACACTTCCCCCCTCACACCCTTAATTTTAAACTTGAAATTTTGTATTTCTTTAAATGTAATGGTGTCAACTTTGTAGACTTATGAATGAATACACTCAGTAGAATAGAGGTGAAGTGGATGGGAGGGAGACAGGAAAAGGGGAGGAATAGTTGCAGATGGTTTACAGAGCCCAGTGGGGGTGGGCTCTTATAGGTTCCTGAGATTTATAACCAGCAATCCTCCCTTTATCAAGTATACACTTACTTTTTTAAGCTAAAACAAGTTCAAGAAGAACAATGAAATGTTAGTGATTGATCCATCTTTTTCTATGTTTCTCTCTCCACCTGCAATGCTACCTTTTTGTTGGACAGATGTTGCTGTGGTCGCCTAATTGGGGAGCACTCTTGGGAAGAGTCACCTCCTCCCATGTCCCTCTGTCCTGGTCCTGGAGAGGACATAGAAGATAGCTGGTCCACAGAACTCCACACCAAAGCCAGTCCCACCAATGCCTATGGGATTGTAGACTTTGAAGATACTGCCACACGTGTCTGTCGGGGGAAGGTCTGTGAGACCACTAACTTACTCTAGCATGAACAAGGCATTGATTTTGATGATTGTCTCACCAGGCTTAGGTTTAAGCAGACATTAGTGAGCTGTTTGAGTGCAAAGATACTATCTACTGTAGTAATGACACAACAGTCACACGCACAAGGAGCCGATCAGTTCCGAATTGT